TTCAATGGAAAGCGGCGCCGATCCATTCTTGCCTGCGGCTGCGTTCGCGTCTATAGCATTGGAGCGCTCTTGCAATTGTAACCCGTTGCAGCGCGTCTACGCGCTTCATCGCAAAGTCTGAACGCTGTCACACCAGTAATCCAACAATCACACTGCTATTCTCTGCTTGAACTCTGATATTTATTTACTCTGTTATCTTCGACTTTTCATCGGGAATTGTCCGAAATGTTCCCTCTCAGTTGCGCAGCTCCTCTCCCAATCTACGAAGCAAGCCCCTTCCGTGTGAACATCTCTTTATAATAAATTTTATTAGGAAATGTATTCAGAATACAAAACAATGCACTGTACATCCCGTATAACAAAGATATCTATGTGTTCGCAAAATATAACCCGCAAACTGTATGCATATAAAAGCACTAGACTCGATCAATGAGTAATTTCGTGGAAAGACCTATTCTAAAAAGCTCGACCTAGTCGTCGTCTTAATCTCGGCATGACCGCAGAACGTGATAATTAAGCGACGCGGTTGCGAAGCGTTTAGTGCGCTCAATCACATCTCACAAAATGCAGGAAATGCTGGATCTACAGCGACGATTGTTACTGCGAGAAATTATTCACCCTTACAAAATTGAGTCGTACTGGAGGTACTATTCTACACGTCTTCATAGCTTCGTCCACGATCAATATTAGAATCAGCAGCTCGTCGCGTAATAAAATCTGGCACGGGAACGATGACTTTTCGAAATCCTGGCCCGAGAAGTGGATTCGATCGAGCCCACATCGATGGCACCATTGTGGCTCGTGAACTAGGTCGAATTAGGACCAAAGCACACAGCAAGTAGATCAGTACCGAACAACTGAAAATAGAATCAAATTCAGAGCTGGTTTCTCCATGCGAATGATTCAATATTTTCAAGCTGAGCAATTGCTTGTACACGGAAGAAGTTTACAAAAGACGGTTCCATGCTGACCATATGGGCAGGGACAGTCAGCCATTTTGTGGCAGGAGTTCGTTCTTCTAAGACTCCACAACAAGGGGTTTTGTCAAAGAGGAAAGGCAGTGGTTTTATTGTCTCCGCTCACATCTCCGTCCATATGATTAGTATGGACTGTGCCTTCAAAAGTAAAATCACTGAAAGGCCTTGCAAGGCAGGTGTGAGCAGGATAAGAAACGTAACTAAGGAAGTAACAATCACCATGCAGGGCACATAAAAACATTCTAAAATGGTGACGATTATGGGCATAAATCCTACCCTGTGCAACGGACTCAAGACTTTCACAAAAAAGATTCTTCAAGAATGACGAGGTATCGCGCAAAAATCTACCTTAAGCGGGACTTCGACGATTCACACGACTTTCTGCGGGGGCGAGCTATCTTGTGTTGGTACCGCCGAAGCCACTGCGTAATAAAACAAGGCTCTCAACTTATCCCTGACAACACCTTTTCAGGAGGTGTCTTTACTATACACTTTTTCACAACAAGCTGAATGGGCCACTTACTTCGCATATTCCGTATCCCGGCGCATGGGGTGGTGAAAGGGAGACGGGGTAGGGAACAAAGGCACCGTACTCGATTTGAACATGAAAAATGCGTTGTTCGAGCCATTTTGCCAACTGAGAAATCGTACTTTACGCTGGGTGAAGATTACGATCATACGTTGCGCCCAAATGCTCACCACAAAAAAGCAGTGACCTCCACGACGCGGTACGCCCACATTCGTCCTCATCTCCGGCTGGAGTGTGAGCGGTTTGGAGTGTAGGTGAGCTGGTTCTCTCGCGAATGTATACAGAAGCTGTTTACTCCGCTCGCAGTAAAAGAATCAAAGACTTCAAAGGCATGTTGCACGCTGGTAAGATGGGAAAAGAACAGTGTGTCATTCCTGGCCTTACTCTGGTGTTCCCCTCTCTCGTTCTTCCCGTCCAGAAGAGGGGACACACCAATTATCAAGATCAGTGGTAGACCCATTTCGCTCACTCACGCTCACTTTGAAGGTTCAGGTACTTCGCTTACTGACCTGCTCACTGGGGTGGCCATGAAAAGAAGACTTGGGACCAGATGAGAAAGAACCTGATCAGTACAATAAGCACCAATAGGGCAAAACAGGACACTTCATTGCATGTGCTTGCAGGGAAATCACCAACATCTTCTCAGAGTTTGCCAGAACACCAGCCAGAATACCAATACAACCCCAAGAATCAGTAGCAAAAGTGAGGCCTTCAGAATTTCCTGAGATTTTTCGCTCATTTCCTTGACGTCGTAAGCTGGGAATCCCCTGGGGACAAGGAATCGGACGCTCTAGACAAGGAGTAGTACTCAATCCTTTTTAATTGTTGGTCCTTCCTGCGAGAGAAGTTGATCACAGTGCAGGTAGGTATAGTATCGGTGTAAAGGGAGGATTCACAAAAAATTTGGGGGGAGTCTTATATAGCGGAAATCCTGCCTAACGCCAGACGTGGTTCTTCATGGGAACTACACCATTCAGGAGTTAAGGGACAACATACTGCTCAAAGAAATTTCTTACCTGGTTACTAAACATCCGACAAGAAACCATAGCACACTGCTACGGAACAGCACTGAACAGCTTGAAGTCGATTGTCTTTGCGAGAATGCTTAAAAATTATCTTCACATCTAATATATCGGGTTTTGGCGCAATTCGGCTCAGAGGGGAAGGGAGTTGGAGAGAAATTCCCGAAGCTTGGTAGAATCAGTACCCTCCAGAAATCCTGTGGAATGGTGCAACTGAGCCACTTTGCTCTGGTCACAGAAACTCGCAGGTTATGACCAAGGTGACCTTTACTAGCGTTATTGGGCATCTGCCCGCACCAAGCCGAAGTGCAGCCAGATTTCTCCCATACATCATTACATATTCACTAATTTCTGCAAACCATGACTTAAATTTGCTCACCATTTCGATTTGACGTCTGTTTCGAGTCGATCACAATACGGCCTGAAGTTCGAGCAGCGAAATTCCATACGACGCATTCATAGACACCATTATGGACTGTTGAGAAATGTCGTATAAACAAAGTTCCATTGGGGTACGTTTGTGCGTCCATTGATGTGTGCACGACAGGTTCACCGTTCTGTAATTACACAAAAAATGAATTTACGATCATCTTCTGAAGCAGTGAAAGAGTTGGGATAAGGCACACGTCGAGGATTAAGCAGAGTGAGCAGCACTAGGGTCAGCCCTGGAAGGTTGGTTCGCTCAACTCTCTCCATTTGCTCCATAAAAGGAACCCAACGGACAAAACCTTAGGAGTGAACTAAGGGCTACCGATGTCCCTCCTTCATCACTGCGTCCTTTCCTTCGGAGATAGTTAGGAGGTAGAGCCCGTCAACAAGGAAGAAACAGTGGTAGGTACAATACCAAATCTGCCATCGGTGTGGATCGTGAATTTGACCTGCAGGGGTTTTAAGCCTTTTTTCGGAAATTGTCCAGAATGGTAGGCGAAACCAGCGCACTCACAAAAAGAGCGACGAAGACATTAGTTTTATGCATGGACTCTTTAGATCCTGGCTGGGTCGTATATACAGCTGGTCCAATTTAAAATGGTGTGCCTATAGAAAACAGGTTAGTCAGAAGTCGATTGGGTAACTGAAGAAACTCACCAAAAGCCAGCTAATGGTCGGTTGTGGTACTGCTCTCGGTAAAGGACACACCAGCATAACTTGTTCGCCGAGAAGTGGATGCTCTGGCTGAAAAATTGTCATTGTCAGATGAACTGCCTACTGATAAAGTTCGCGTAGCTCACAAGCCAGAAAGTGTTATTATCGCGAAAGAACCCCACCACAGTATGACCCTCAACCCAGCCACACCGCTCCTTCAGCCCCATCTTCCTTCCCTTCACCCGCTCCTTCTCCTACAGTGTTCGCTAACGAAACGGTTGCAGTAGTGGGGGGAGGGGTGAGCACAAGGGACGTATAAATGTCACTAATATCGACGCTTTGGCCATCCCTTATGTTTGTTTATTACCAACGTCACCGACAATGTTATGAGATCATCATACATTGATCTACATAGAAGTAGAGATTACGGGTAAGATGAAAAAAAAGCTGTACACTCACCTCCAGGAACCCTTGCCCTTTCCATTGCGAGGTGAATGGGTCCTCTGCTGCGTGTAGTAGTAAACCAATTTTCCGGTTGAGCAATAGACCCAGGAACGGACTTGAGGGCGTAGATTCCGGGTGTAGCTACATAAACACTAGGTCCTATGCTGCCACCGCCGCTTACGCTACGACCACCCTCAGGCCTGGACCAATAGCCCAGACGGTCTTACTTGTTTGCGACCTCTCAATTCGGTTTTCTCCACTAAGTCATTCGTGACCTTGGCAATCATAGCAAGTACAGCAGTACATGCGGCATTAGCGGCTGAGCGGAGTATGAATGGCACCAGGCATCAGGGCATCACACGCCCGCTGTCCAGCCGCTGTTCGCATCTTCTCTGACCGAAAAAGCGCACACACCGCAACTGGGGCTTAATTTCACTTAGCACATAGCAAAGCACTGTATTCAGGGGTGAGTATACGGCTTGTGACGAAAAAAAGCTGATCTCCCTACCTCCCCCCCCCCTCAACCTATGAAGGAAACTGATCCAATCATTTTTGTTTAATAAGGTATTTTCAGATTGCAACATTCATTCTTACAGAAACTGCCCGACTATAAAAATAATGGTCTGTACACCACAACGCGTATGGCCTATTCGGGCGGTATTGGGTCCACGTATGCCACTTCAACGAGAACACTCGCAGCCACACCAAGCACCGCTGCCAATGACCGTACACCAATTCAAGCTCATCTCTGTAATGAGCCACCATGATCACATAAAATCGAAAACGAACATTTTCAGAGCATCATGTACCGTGACTGCAGTCTTCTAACAGCTTATAGAGCTGACTCATAAAACGCTATGTTATTTGCGCAAGTTGCAAAACTTACCCGCACGTGTCCATGCTCTTCCTGTAGCGAAGCCCCGAGGCCGGCCTTACCTAGATTTCCTCCCCTTCTTTCTAACAATAAAGACCGTAGAAATGATGAGGCTGCTACCGTTTCAATGAAGAAAGTATAATTATGACTTCGTCCATAACATTAGGACTGCTGCCTTCAATATATTCCCCGCGGCTCACAATCATAACGGTAGAGGGTTCAGTTTACTTGGTGACTTCACTCAGATCGCTTGCTCTAAGGAAAAAACCCCTTCCCATTCTGGGCTGTTGTTCAGTATTTCTGTTGCCTTTTCAATAAATACGCTAGGTGTGACATTTCTGTCAAGTTTGTGAATGCTCACAGCGTGATCCATGGCTATGGCACATTTCCCGTTGAATAAAAACCTTGCGATTTCGAGAGAAACATAACAACATGACTAGCAAGGCAATCAACAAGTGTTAACATTTCGGTGACGCCCTTTTCTCCCGAATATCGGAATCAGCATAAACGACCCCCATTCATATACAGGTCAAAAAAGTTCTACAGCCCAAATTGCGCGAAAAATTCAGCTATAGCAGCTGACTCATTGCATGTCCTATGGCACACCAGAGTATACAGGTAGAGCAGAGATGAAAGGCAGAAACTAGGTCGCAACCTAAGTCGGCACAACCCATGATCGTGTGGGCGGAAACAGACAATCGTTGTGGCTTCCCAGTTGATGCATCTCTCCTTCTAGGACGGTCAAGTGGAGGAGCAGATCAGTGACGCTGCGCTCAGCCCTTGCGACCATCGTGGACTATGAATTTCAGGAACAGAAAAGGTGATTTAGCAACTGGGAAGACCCATGATTTCGCAAAATGAGATACAAGCCTAAGGTCAGAAGTTTCTCTTTTAGGGCAGTTAGTCCAGGAAGGCATTTAAAGGATTTTTGTGCAACACTGGGATTACTGTAGAGAGTTCTCCTCTTCATCCTTGAGAATTCGGCCCGCTCACCTCTAACACTTTCCCTCCGCAGGCTAATTGTTAAGCGAGAATCCTCGCTTTCTTTAGGTACCATCAGTTTTGCACAAAGACTGCTTCATATGCGCCATCCCTTTCAGACGAACTGCGCCGACAGTTGAAAAAGAAGCGCTTGGTGCACAGCAGATTTACGCATTAGGATAATTAATGTGCGCTTTACTATCGGTTTTCTGTTGGCGTGCAGCGCAGGAAGAACCGAGTAAGTAAGAATAATGTTTTGCGTAGTAGTACTGAGACTGCCTGTGCTCCTCAGCCAAAAAGCTAAGGAAACTACTACCTCAAAGCTTGATTAGAGCTAAAATATTTAAAACACTCACCTTTGGTTATGTTACTCATTATGAGAAAGCCAACTTCTGGTACCGGCTGTTCGGCAGTATAACTCCGGTTCTCGAAAATCGCATTTGTGTTACTAAAAACCATGGTTGTAATTGGCAAAAAGGCAAAAAAAGAGGCTAACAAAACTGAAAATTCAAAAAAGACGCCTAATTAAAGGCAGACAAGGTAGAAATGAGGTTACGCGCTCTTTCAAGAGATTCGGCACTTTGGTGTCCGTGCTTCATGAGAGCCACAAAACAGGAAGAAAAGTCCCGCTACCCAGCCTAAATGAATAACAGCCTCTTAAACAACCCCCGGTTTGTTTGACTTCCCGTCAAAACTCCAAGTTCCCAGTTCTTGTCAAGGCAACGTACAACCTTGTTCATTGTAGATGCTGGGGCGTATAGGGGGCAGGAGCGGGCTTGGCGCTTCTCCACCAGTTGTGGTACCGTGCCATCTACGACAAGTGGTGGAGAACAGGCAAGCGTCGCGCCAAACCCAATCTTTCTGAAACGCCAGTGTCCTCAGCGAACGAGCTTGGGTTACTTCAACTAAACTTATGGGCGAGAACGAGAAGTTCCCGAGTGTGGGTCAAAGTGTACAACTGGACGGAACAGGAATGAATTACTCGGCACGAGCAGCATTCGCTAGCTTGGTGACTCGGCTCACTGTAAAGGTCGTGGTGGCAATAAGCGCGCTACATCCTCGCAGCGTTGATTTCGCTCTACCGCTAGCTCTCCGACTCCATGACCCGTTCCCAAAATTCACATCTCTTGTCACCAGTTGTTGCCACTCCAACCGCAAATTCACATGCGTTCTGTTGGGGCCAAATTCTAGCCACGCCTCTCATATCTGATATGGGATACAATAATCAGTTCTAATTGCTTAAACGAAGGATATTGAACTGCCGGCTCTGCTACCTTTTTGAGAAACCGCTCGAAGTTATCGATGACTTTTAAATGAAATTTGCCCCAGGAGTAAAATGTGGAACTTTGTCCTCTGATGATCATCGGAATAAGAATACCGCATCCGCATGGCGCGAACATGCCACGTGCTACAGGCGTAGCGCGGAAGCACTTCCCAACACCAAAATCACCGAAAACTTTGCGCCCTGAACAATTTGCCTCTACTCTACGGCACTCAACACTCTAGAGGGGCATTTGAATGACTCTTGTGCGAAGTGGGATCAAGGTCGTTTTGACAAGAAAATGTTTTTGAATTGGGCTCAGCACATGTTTGGAGCTTCTCATTTTTTTTTTTTTTTTGTTTTTTTAATTTTTTTTTTTTTTTTTTTTTATAGATACGGGTAAAGTTCGGATGCTTTTGACTGTGGTTGAACGAAGCTCCCTAAGCGAGCATCGGAGAATTACAGGTGTCCGCAGTAGTCTACGTAGTGATTGAAGGAACGCAAATCCCACCGAACGAACTGCGACCAAAAAGTCCTCGTCTCCATGCCCGATAAATCTAGGTCTTCAAGAGGATATGTTATATGTCTGCTTCGAAGAGTACTGTGCCAATATTCTTGTAATTCAAAAAAGCTTGACCCTGAGTTATGTAAAAGGCGCCATGACGAAAACGTCTGAGTCAATGGAATAGCGCACAATCCAGGCATTCCGAGTAAGAGATAGGGATGCCAAGAAAAAAAGTTCGAGTACAAATTCTGAAAAGGCTGTATTACTGACCATCAATGAATTAAAAAATAGACCGTAAGGGTTTTAAAAAAGGATTCTTTTCCTGTGAGACTTTATAAAGCCATCTGCACCACTACAGCATGTATACGAGGATATACAGCCAGTACCATCAGCATTAATAGAGAGGTCAGGATGCCCGGGGACAATGCGTGGGCTCTATCAAAGGTTGAACAGTAGCGCCACATACCTTGACACAATGCCAACTTCTTCGCCGTCCCTGTACCAGATTGCTTTATTCGTTTCATCACCGGAGAACACCACCTCGCACATAAGAGCTGTTGTTGAATGAATCGGCAGCAACATTTCACTGGGCGGCTTCCGAGGCGTGGGCGAGACGAGAATTGATAGGGCTGAAAGTAAAAAAGTCGACTGAAGTCCCTATCCTGTTCAAATACTCATTCCTCATACTACTCCCTTCAAAAATCGCATGAAACGACGCTATAAATCTCGACCTTAAGCGCCCTATTACTCTCCGGCCGCCGATTTAGAAGTTCAAAGATAAGCATCTCAACCTAATGAACATTCTCATCTTCAGTAAAAGAACCGGCAATCTGGCGATTTTTTTATGGCACACCGTCGTTACGGTAGACGCAAATCGCCATATATGGCGCATTGTGTTGGGATAGAGCGACAATTTGGAGCCACTACAAAAAACTATACCTAAAGAACTCCTCAAATCGCCTACAATAGCAAGGCTTTCGGAATTATCGTATTATGTGACAGGTGGAACTTCTTCAGTCCTAAAATAAATGCCCTAGATGAGAGGATGGGCATACTAAAGTACTGTAACAGGTTTTTCTGAACAATCTGGTGCTTGGAAATCTGAGTGGTGCAGAAAGTCGCCTTCACAGCCGGTAGAACTATCTATATTTGTCCAGAAGGTAGAATTACGCTATGTAGTTACCATAGCTTTTTGGGGGCGAGCGCTAACGGAGTGGGGCTCGTGGTTGTGCGACAAAGCTAGCCTCTCTGCCTTGAGGCGAAGGCGTCAAAGGATTCGAGGGCACA